AAATGTAGTGCTGCCACATGTTAAGTTCGTTTTAGTAGTCGTTCACAGTAGCAGTGGTAGAAAAGCAGAAGCAAAACGACAATTTTCTCCTATAAAGATTTTCTTCTAGTGTCAAGGCATATTTTTTCAGTGTAGTACTGAATGATCAAAGTCAATCAAAAGTGTTTGCATTCAACCAAAATTTACAATCACGATGATTGCGAATGCTTTTGTTACATTCACATTCTATACAGAATGGAACTCTACGATTTAATAACACATTACGTTTGTTGTTGTTTCAATATAATTAAAGCCACTCAGGAATGCGTTTTTTTCTATACAACCAAACAATCAAAATTTTGAAACGAATGCCAAGTGAATGCAGATCCTACAGATACAATATGTATACGCAAATAATAACTTTTAACACACCTATTTAGGCAAATAAAATGGTTTCACAGTTTTCATTTAGTAAAATGTTGCAACTTTTTTCTGCAAAATTAATAAAATTTAAAATATTAACATATGCTTTAGCGTTATCACCTACGCAGTAGGTTATCACAAAAATAATAGCAATTGTCACCGTTAGAGTTTTCAAATTGCCCTGCATACCTAAACGTGACGATTGATTATAAGCATGACAATAGTTAAAACGGCGAGTTTTGTCATTGCACGCGAATGGGGCGGTTAGGCTCAGTTTCGTCGTCAAAAGTAAGGATTTTATAGTCTAATATTTGCTTAATTTTAAAACTATTACCTACACATTCTTTCAGGCTTTCAACATATGATACATAGTTAGTTGCGCTTTCGCAAGTTTTTTTAATGCATGCATAAAACGAGTTTGGTATTTTGTTATCGATAATGTGCATGTAGATCTTGTCACGCAAATGAAGGGACCTAAAGTTCTAGGTCACCTCCGAACTGCAAACGGTTTTTATAAGAATCGATTTCATGGCAGAAGAACACTCGGAGGTTTGAAAATTCGACGACCGCAGATCGGGAGTTATGTAGAGCAACATTTCCTTTAACTTTATATAGGATCCTAAAATAAAATTTAAAAATTTATTGAAATGGTAACTCATACTCAGAAATGAATTTTTGAGGAAAATTATAATTTTTGAATATTTTAAATAGTTCGAAGGTTTAGCAAAATGAAGAAAAATTTAACATTTTAACAGGCAGGGAAAAATTAATCAATTTTGCTTAAATTTAAGCAAAAAGTCAACGCTGGGCACGGCCCTGTTAGGGTAAAAGCATAGGGGAGCGGCGAGCAAAGAGCATCGAGCAAAGCGTCGATTTCAAACGCACATGTTTCGAGAGCAAAGCGTAGTGAAGAGCAAAGCTAACATACAAGTTTGTTATTACAGCTTTGCTCGATGCTATCTCTTCGCTTTGCTCGCCGTGAGTTCGTACAAAAATTACTCACACTTTGTAGATATATATCGTGTTGTCCCTTGTTATTATCTACGTTCTTTGCTTGGATCAAGTCAATAAATATTGAACGTGTTGAGGGGCCCTTAAAAGGAATTCAGTGCTGCCACAGTCAAATACCTTTTTTTAATCCCGTCATATTTTGGTTTGGCTACTCTGTAAACAGCTGTCAAATATCCATAATTGTTTACATACTTGCTCCGTCAATTTCATCCATTGAATTAAATTTTATCAGAGTCCTTTGCAGACAAAAAATAGTGAAATGGAAAATACAGAAGCTGTGGAACCTTCGGCTGGCTTAGCTGATAAAATTGCTACGAAAAACGCCAGTACTAATTCCCTGGATACTGCCGATTCAAAATCTAGTTCAATTGGTTCGAAACACGGCGTTGACTTAGGTGCAGTACGTGACACGCCCTTTGTTTATCTCGATGGTGAGGAAGACCAGGACCAGAAAAATGATGTCACTTACGTATGTCCATTTCGAGGACCGGCCTTCGGCGCTTTAACTATAACCAATTATCGACTTTACTTCCGTTCATTACCATTACGTGATCACGAACCGCCCGTTGTTGTCGATGTGCCATTGGGAGTTATTGCTCGCGTTGAAAAAATCGGCGGTGCAACTTCTCGCGGGGAAAACTCTTATGGCATCGAAATATTCTGCAAAGATATGCGCAACCTGCGTTTTGCACACAAACAACAAAACCATTCTCGACGAACTGTTTTTGAAAAGTTACAATCATATGCCTTTCCGCTCTCTTTTAGTGGACGCCTTTTTGCATTCGCCCATGCAGCAGCAAGCGGACCGCCTCCCCCTGCCACCGAAAATGGTTGGGCTGTGTATGAACCATTAGCTGAACTGCGCCGACTGGGAGTTCCAAATGATATGTGGCGCATAACTAAGTTAAATGAAGCTTATAGTGTTTGCGATAGCTATCCGGCAGTTTGGGCTGTCCCAAAAGCAGCCTCTGATGAGTTTTTGCGACGTGTTGCACAATTTCGATCTCGTTGCCGTTTACCTGTACTTTCTTGGATACATCCACGCTCACAAGCGACTATAACAAGATGTTCACAACCACTAGTTGGAGTGGGGGGCAAGCGAAGCGCAGATGACGAACTCTACCTTGGTTATATAATGGAGGCAAATGTGCAGTCAGATAAATTGGCGATAATAGATGCACGTCCTAGTGCCAACGCTATAGCCAACAAAGCTAAAGGAGGTGGGTACGAGTCCGAAGAAGCGTATAAAAACGTGGAAATACACTTTCTCGACATTCACAACATTCATGTTATGCGCGAAAGTTTGCGTAAAGTGAAAGAGGCATGCTATCCGACAATCGATGATTCAAAATGGCTTTCAGCAATTGACGGCACATTGTGGTTAAAGCATATTAAGTGTATATTGGCAGGCGCCGTACGAATTATAGATAAAGTAGAGACAATGAGCACCTCTGTAGTTGTGCATTGCTCAGATGGTTGGGACAGAACTGCACAACTGACTGCATTATCTATGTTACTGCTAGATCCATACTACCGCACATTACGTGGATTTGAGGTCCTAATTGAAAAGGAGTGGCTGTCTTTCGGACATAAATTCCAACAACGAATTGGTCATGGCGATAATCGACACTCTGATGCGGATCGTTCTCCGGTTTTCTTACAATTCATCGATTGTGTATGGCAAGTTAGCCAAGAGTTTCCTAACGCATTCGAATTTAATGAACATTTTTTAATAACGATAATAGACCATTTATATTCCTGTCGTTTCGGAACTTTCTTATGCAACACGGAGGCTGAGCGGGTTGTAGAAGGTGAGAAAGCTGAAAAAATATTTTATATATTTTAATTTAGAACTTTCTACTGGGGACTTAACCACAATTTATACCAACAAGATTTTCAATGCGTTAACATTATAAATATATATTTAAATTTGCAGATCTTAAACATAAGACTGTTTCACTTTGGACATACATTAACAGCTCGTTGAACCAGTATCTTAATCCGTTGGCTTTCTCACATGGAGCTCAAACAGTTTTGAGGCCCATAGCGAGCATGCGATATGTGAAATTATGGAAAGGCCTATATTGTCGGTGGAATCCTAGCATACGTCCACAGAATCGTATATACCATCGTACACGTGAATTACTGGCACTACAGGACCAGCTAATAAAGCAGGTTAGCGACTTACGCATGAAGACGAATTCACGCCAATCGGCACAAACGTCGACTCGGCTAGCATCGCCAATGCATTAAAGCTTTGAAATCCTCTTTATTTAACAGCAAAAGTATTCGTGTTATACAATGTATATAAAGTGTAATATGTATACCCATATCTTTTATATACATACGCACGTTATGATAATATTAAAATTTTATATGAATCTTAAAATATTTTTTTTTGTTATTTTATGGCCTTATAACAATTATATTCAACAATTTTTATTGAGCTCGAAATGAATGAAAAACTTATTGTGGAAAAGCAACAATAATTTGAAGAAATGGTAGAAGTGATAGCTATATCGGAAATCACATTTCCTCATCAGACTTCTTTCAGTAGGAATCGAACCGACGATCCCACTGACTCAGCCAGTTGCCTACGCACTGTGCTAAGTTAGCCTTGTAAATTATCGTTGCTTTTTTCCCACTTTTTCATTTGCTAAGCCAACACAATGAAGCGCAGCTATTCCGCTACGATTTACACTTGATCATGTGGATGTTGGTTTTTGTTAATAATTCTATTTTTAGAATGTTTAACTTTTAGGTGTGCTCGTCCTTACGTTATTTGTTTTTGTTATTTTATGGCCTTATAACAATTATATTCAACAATTTTTATTGAGCTCGAGGCCGTTTTTAATGAAAAAGTTATTGTGGAAAAGCAACAATAATTTGAAAAAATGGTAGAAGTGATAGCTATTTCGGAAATTACCACATTTCCTCATCAGACTTCTTTCAGTAGGATTCGAACCGACGATCCCACTGACTCAGCCAGTTGCCTACGCACTGTGCTAAGTTAGTATAATAATAATAATAGATTGGCGCTTACACATATGTTAGTGTTTGGCCCAGCTTCTCCTCCGACTTGTGGCGTGCGCCTTGATGTTGTCACACAAAGCGGAGGGACCTACAGTTTTACGCAGACTCCGAACTGCGATTGTATTTTTATGAGAAGCTGTTTTTCATGGCAGAAATACACTCGGAGGTTTGCCATTGCCTGCCGAGGGACGACCGCTGTTAAGAAAAAACCTTTTTCTATATTTTTTGGGATATTGCTTTGACCAGGGCTTGAACCCAGGTGCTGATGTGTGAAAGCGCGCAGCTATTCCGCTACGATTTACACTTGATCATGTGGTTGTTGGTTTTTGTTAATAATTTTTAACATGTTTAACTTTTAGGTGTGCTCGTCCTTAAGTTATTTGTTTTTGTTACTTTATGGCCTTATAACAATTATATTCAAAAATTTTTATTGAGCGCGAGTCCGTTTTTAATGATCATGATCAAGTGTAAATCGTAGCGGAATAGCTGCGATTGATTGTGTTGGTTTAGCAAATGAAAAAGTGGGAAAAAAGCAACGATAATTTACAAGGCTAACTTAGCACAGTGCGTAGGCAACTGGCTGAGTCAGTGGGATCGTCGGTTCGAATCCTACTGAAAGAAGTCTGATGAGGAAATGTGGTGATTTCCGAAATAGCTATCACTTATACCATTTTTTCAAATTATTGTTGCTTTTCCACAATACGTTTTTCATTAAAAACGGCCTCGAGCTCAATAAAAATTGTTGAATATAATTGTTATAAGGCTATAAAATAACAAAAACAAATAACTTAAGGGCGAGCACACCTAAAAGTTAAACATTCTAAAAATAGAATTATTACCAAAAACCAACAAAACCATGTCGCGTACACGTGTCGCCCCTTGTCAGGCCACCTTTGTGGTTGCCCTGGCTAGCTCAGTAATTGGGTGGTCGGGATCCTTAACCCTTGCCACAATGGCGCCGGGCGGACGTGGCGGCTCGTTCACTGGCACATCTCACCCACAGGAAGCCCACCCATCAATGGACCGCCTGATGTGTCTCCTTGCGGGCTCCCTTTTGCCATGCTCCAATTCTCCCTTAACTTACCCCCTTGTCATCTTCCGCCTCCCCTGCCTATGTGATTAAGTCCACATTTTAAATTCTTTTAAACATACATTAAAATATATTATAAAACATAAGAATTTACAAACAGGAAAATCAATGAATTTTATTATCGGTTTCCGGCCGCCACAAAAAAAGGGACCAATCAAATTAATCTCCGTTTATATACGTATGTCAAACAAACAATATAGAAAACCTGCCACCCTACCTACAAGAGCTCTTTTCAGATGGTGTGAAGGGTTTCCGGGAGCCGGATATTCCCCGCTCAGAAACTACTAAAATTTACCCTTTTGTTTGGGTTCTTCTTGCCTGGCGGGCACAAAGACAATAAAAAAAACGAAAGTATAAGTATGTATAAACTTATTAACGAATTATCTAAGCAACGAAAATGTATGAACGTATATATTACAAACAATTCAATGTTCTAAACAAAAAATAATATTTTTGGGACTATACTTGGGAAGTTACAGCACCTACTGCAACGGCAACACATCAAGCACCAACAAAACCGCCTAGAGTAAGCAGTTAGCCGGCCACCAAACCGGAACTGCTTACATCAGCAATAATACATAATTAGGTCATAAGTATGTTCTTACCAATAAGCATATTATTCTGCAATAAGCAATAATACATAATTAGGTCATAAGTATATTCTTACCAATAAGCATATTATTTTGCAATAAGCAATAAGTATAGAATAAGTATTTTATATAATTGTAGAGTAAGCACCTTTATAGTTATAAATATAACCAACTTCCAATAAAGAATGGATTCGATAGTTTGAAACGAAGCAGTGAGTGTTGTACAGCTCCAGTTGAGGAGCCAGTGATTATATATTTTTACTTGGGATATCTCCAAACTAGTTAAGTGGCGCAGTCGGAAGACAATTTCCATAGTGCATCGGGCACTACAAAGAGCAGTACCAAAAGGACTGAATACTGGAGGATTTCAATCCCTTACCGCTGTGAAACGAACCCCAGGAAAGAAGACAAGTATGAATATATGGGCATTCGCTTATTTTTCAATGTGAGTGGGCAAAATATATTGTGTTCTAATAAAAAAAATTTTGTAAAAAAAACAACACAAAGAGAACAAATATTGTGATATAAAAAAATATATATATATACATATATGTGAACGTACGAACGTGAGAAAAAAAACACAGGCATTTTTTTATATCTTTATGAAGATACAAGAAAGAGGTAAAGAATTTTAATCAACTACACTGCTAGTCTTTGCATCAAAGACTACAAAAAAAAAAAATAAATAATATATATATTATTTTTCTTTTTCTCTCAAAATAAAATCTAAATCTAAACTCATTTGGAATAAGATCCTCGCAACCGCATCAAACTCTGCAACTGTGAGGATCACCTAAATTACACCTAGAAAAAAAAGAGAGATTATAACAATCCTTCCGATAGCATACTCAACATGTACGGCACCCCACTAGTTTGGGACGACATAAAAAGAAATCTCATCCTGCACTACTCCGACAAACGGACGGAAACCTCTCTCATTAGAGACTTGCATAATGCTATGCAATTCAACAAAACAGTCGAGAACTTCTATAGTGAAATTGTTGAGCTGCAATCAGCGCTGTGCAATAATGTCCTACTACAGGAGCAGGATCCAAACGTGGTAAAAGCGAAGAAGGATGTGTATGCTGATATGTGCCTAAACTCTTTCCTTAGCGGCCTAAAAGAACCCTTAGGTTCTAGAATACGGACCATGCAACCAAACTCACTGGCTACAGCTTTAGCTTTCTGCATAAAAGAACAAAACATTTCGTACCAAAGGTTTAACTCAACTTAGACACAGGAGCTTCCGTATCTTTCATCAATCCAGAATACATACCCGAAAATAAACAATACAATTGTTAACAGGTGACCATTTCTACCGCCTTCAAGAAATACCATATTAACAAAAAAACCATTCTGCCAATTTTCAAAGAATTTAACCAAAACGGTTCCATTAACTTTTTAATATTTAAGTTCCACAACTATTTCGATGGTTTATTAGGTACAGATGCATTGACGCTGTTGGGAGCCAAAATTGATTTGACGACACAAACACTCTTAACCAAAAACTCTGTTGACGAAATTAAACTTAAGCCTAATCTGACATCTGGCCAAATCATAATACCCGGAAACTCAAAAATCCTTGCCAAGCTTCCAGTAGACATCGAAAATGGTAATATCTACATCGACAAAATAGAACTCAAACCAAACCTCTTTCTTTCCGATGGACTCTACCATGCCGAAAACTGGTTCAGCACAATGGAATTAGCAAATTATTCCCAGTCAGAAGAAAACCTATGTATTGAGCAACCACTTAAAGTTGAAAAATACATACCTGCGAACCACGTAGAGTTGAACAATCTTAACTTTCCTCAGGGTAACATCCCACAGGATATAGATATACGTGACCTACTCAGACTTGACCATCTCAATACCGAAGAACGCAAGGAACTAATAAAACTATGTAAACAATATGAAGACATAATATATAAGCCGGACGAACCCTTGACTTTCACTAGCGCAATCAAACATCAAATAAAGACAACAGATGATATTCCAACATACACGAAATCATACAGGTACCCATACGTACATAAAGAAGAAGTACGAAGACAAATCGCCAATATGTTGGAACAGGGCATCATCAGACAAAGGTATTTCCCATGGAGCTCACCCGTCTGGGTGGTGCCTAAGAAAAAAGATGCAAGCGGAAAACAAAAGTGGCGACTAGTAATAGGCTACAGGAAAGTAAACGAAAAAAAAATATCAGATAGATACCCAGTACCTAACATTACCGAAATATTGGACAAACTTGGAAAGTGTATATTTTACCACCCTAGACCTTGCAAGCGGGTTCCACCAAATTGAAATGGACCCCAAACACATCGCAAAGACGGCGTTCACTGTAGAAGAAGGGCACTATGAATAAGTCAGAATGCCATTCGGTCTAAAAAACGTACCTTCCACTATCCAAAGCGTTATGGATAACGTCCTTAAAGAACTAATAGGAAAAAAATGTTTGGTATACCTTGACGATATAATTATATTTTCCACTTCACTACAAAAACATCTCGAAAGCATCAAACTAGTTTTCGAAAAGCTCCGCGAGTCCAATTTCAAAATTCAAATGGACAAATGTGAGTTTATGAAAAAGGAAATAGCCTTTTTAGGACACATTATAACACCTGAAGGAATCAAACCCAATCCCATGAAAGTTGATGCAATCTGAA